AACCGAAGGACCGTGCACTCACCGGTCTCGAGCAATAAAAATAAAATCCCCAAAATTGACTAAGTACATATCAGTTAAACAGTAAAGGACATGCAGTATGGACGAAGCATTCATGCACAAGCTACCAAAAAAACTTGAACAAAAGTTCCAAGGCAAACTCTTTTGGCCGATGAGGGCATGAGATAGCTGGCAGGAAATCAAGTGGTTCATGGGAAACTCCCTCAGCCGACCAAAGGGTGAAAGCTTTCATCGGCCACTCCCAAAGGAAGTAACTACCTAAGTCTATTGAACATTTGGAAAAATTTCAAGGTACTTGGAGAAAATTCCCAAGTGGCACCGAGAGCGGCCGACAACAGCCCCAAGGTCGAAAGTGAAACAAACCACCTAGTTTCCTTTAGCCGAAAGCGAAATAAAAACTCCCAGCGGCCGAACAAGGGCCAACAACCCTCATCATCTACACCGGGCTGAAGCAACTACATACACTGAGCTAAACACTTAGAAATATTTCCAAAAGTATGAGATAACCAACGAGCAGTACGAGGAAGAGGAGGACATCTCTCCCTCAGCCGAACAAAGGGCGAGACCCTTCATCGGCCACGACCACAGGAAGCAACTACTTGAGCTTTTTGTTTGACACTTAGAAGAATTTGAAAGTAAAAACAAAAAGGAAAGGGAGGGGGAGTGACACAAAACGAAGATGACATAAAAGCCGGAAGCAGCGGCTAAACACTCCCATTCATTTAAATTCATTACAAGAGGAGGGAACAACAACCTTTACATACAAAGGCACTACGGCCGTCACATAGCAACAAAAAAAGAGAAAGGGATCAGGCTTCTCCCGCGCCGGCATCTGAAACAGGCAGGGCTGCAGCCTCATCGGCCTGGGAAGAAGCCGAGTCCAGGAGCACCTCATCGTCATCCCAATCCTCCTCGCCGATGCTGGAGCTAAGGATGGGGGTTTGCCTCTCCTCGGCCGGAAGCTTGGCCTCCTCCTCCGGATCCTTCATCTTTGGAGGAAGCTTCAACTTGTGAGCGAACTTTTTGTTCAGCTTTAGCTCCTTGCATCTACGACGCAGCCTGCTGTAGATGATCCGTTGCATCCGTTGCTGGCCCATGTCGTAGTACACCGACATCTCCCTCTCAAAGTACTCCTGGTCGGCAGGAGAGTTCTGGCTCCAATCCTCGAGCCTGGCCGCCACAAGCTCATAGCACCAAGGCCGAAGCTCCTCAGCCTTCCAGCCTTCGGCAAGGAACGTCTTGATCGCTTCATCGGCGGCCTTCTCGGCTTTAGCTTTGGCTTTCTCAGCCTCATCGGCACGAAGGCGATCAGCCTCGCGGGCTTCCTTCTCACCAGCAAACTTGGCCAGGGCATCATCCCTGTCAGCAGCCACTTGGCGGTAGGCTTCATCGACCTCATCGACCCTCTTCTTCAGAGCCTCCACCTCGCTCCGCAGCCGATCTAGGCAGGCCATGGCTTCCTCGGCCGAGGCAGCTTTTTGCTCAGCCTCTTTCAGCCGAGCAATCTCTTGTTGCTGCCTCTTGTGGCTCTCCATCAGCATGAAGCCCCCCTGCAAAAAGTGAAGGGGTTAGGACGATAAAAACACGTATGACGACAAAAAAGACGGAAATAATAAAGTATGCAAGGATCTTACTTAGAAGACGAGGTCCATTCCACCGTCATAAATTCTGACGGGGCCATGCTTCTTGAGATAGGCCCGATCTTCGACTGGGACGGCTTGTGAAAGCACATCATGGCCGTCGACGGCATCATTGAAGATGCCTCCCTTTACAGGGTACTCGCCAAGCACGTCATTCTCCCTTTCGTTTTCAAATTGAGAAGTTAGAGCATCTCTGTGAGTTTAGGATGTTTTTACTTGGACTGTAATTTGCTGGTCTGGTCTGGTCTGGTTTGTTTTGGTCTGGTCTAGTCTGATCTGGTCTGGTCTGATCTGGTCTGGTCTGAAATTTTATTTTTTATATTTTTTGCATAAAGATTTTATTTTTTATATATATTATAATCCATAAATAATTATATTTTATTCATTTATAATTACAAATAACAATAACAATAACAATAACAATAATAATAATAATTAGGGGTGTGCACTATCCGGTTTAAACCAAAAAACCGGACCGAACCGGACCGGAAAAACCGGAACTGGATCAAACCGGAATGATATCCGGTCCGGTTCGGTACGGTCCGATCCGGTTTTGAACCGGTGCACACCCCTAATAATAATAATAATTAATAATAATAATAATAATAATAATAATAATAATAATAATAATTAGGGTTGTGCACTAGTCGGTTTAAACCGAAAAACCGGACTGAACCGGACCGGAAAAACCGGAACCGGATCAAACCGGAATGATATCCGGTCCGGTTCGGTACGGTGCGGTCCGGTTTTGAACCGGTGCACAACCCTAATAATAATAATAATAATAATAATAATAATAATAATAAAATATGGTCTGATCTGGCCCGGTCTGGTCTGGTTTGGTTTGGTCTGGTCTGGTCTGGCCTGTTTTAGTCTGATCTGTTTTGGTCTGGTCTGATCTGTTTTGGTCTGGTCTGGTCTGATCTGGGACGAATTACAGTCAAAGTAAAAACAACCTTAATCTCTTCCACACTCATGTGAGTTTCATTTTTACCTCACAATTTTTATATTTAGGACCTAACTTTTTTTATATTTATGGTAATTTTCATCCACTTTTGCTTCTTGAATCCCATTTAAAGTCTATGAGTGGACACTATCATAGATATTATCTAATTTATTTCTATCTCTCTTTTTTTCATTTTCTCCTACATACTAGCTACTTTCTTTAGATTAAATTAAAATAATGATCTTATATATATAATCTCTTTTATGCCACATGAAATGAAATTCATTGCAATCCACTTCCCCGTTGGAGTTGCGCTTAAACCATACATTGGGACTAATTGAGGGGATTTAAAATCGAAAAGGGATTGGGAGAAGTTAAATACCGGTATGGAGCTAGGAAGGATAGAAAAATAAAAAGAAAATAAAAAATGGGGAGAAAGGGTAAAAGGCAAAAGTGACTTTTGGGCGGGTGGCGTCGGACATAATCCCAAACTAAGAAATTCTTTTTAAAAAGAGAGAATTTCTCAAATGGGACTAAAACTTGGTTAAAACTCCAAAGTAGGATATTAAGTTTTTTATTACTTAAATAGGACTTTTAATTACCGATCGGACAAAATTGCCCTTAATGAATTTAGCGCATGATCTTTAGACTTCCGACTACTCTGTTGCGGTGCCCTGCACCGATAACTTCATATTGCCGGCACCACCACTCTCTGCGCAAGGCTTCAGTGCACAGACTTCCACTGTCGTTGGCTGATTCCACTGCCCTCTTTTGTAAAAAAAATGTCACCTTTGTTCCCAAAATGTCATGAAGATGACATTTCCATATATAAAAACATGGCAGTCGTGGAGAATGTCAAGTTGGTGCAATTTTTACTCTTTATAAATGTCAAATAAAAACTGTCATCTTGGTAAATGTAATGTCAAAACAGTGACATTTTTTTCAAATGAGTGTTCAATAAAATAACAATTATGCCATTTGCAGGTCCAATTAGTGAGAAAAATAGTATGAACGATTTAAAGTGAATTAGATGGAATTTATGAAAAATGAAGAGAAATGATTTTCACAATTCAAAATTTTATTTAAAATTTGATTGATAAAAAACTAAAAATAATGTTAAAATAATGTTGACATTTTGGAATAGAAAGATGACATTTACAAAAGGAGAAGAAGAAGAGCAAGAAGAAGAAGAACAAGAAGGAGAAGGAGATGGAGGAGAAGAAGAAAAAAGAAGAAGAAGAAGAAGAAGAAGAAGAAGAAGGAGAAGGAGAAGGAGAAGGAGAAGAATACCTGATTTTGCTGGAGATGGCGTCCGGCGTCGAGCAGGCAGCTGCGATGATAGGCCAGCGTCGAGTTGCGAACTTGCGATCGATGGAGGTTGAGCTGCGATCGAGTTGCGAACAGTTGAGCTGCGTCCTCTGGCGAGCGATGCAGAGGGATTTGGGGAAAAGGTGATTTAGGGATTAGGGGCAAAAAGGTAATGTGGAGTCCCATTTAGGAAATTTAAAACTTGAAGTCCTATTTTGGAGTTTTAACCATGTTTTAGTCTCATTTAATATAATTTCTTTTTTAAAAAACTTACAACTTTTGCATTTGTACTCACAATTTTACAAACAATATATCAAAATTCATAATTTTTTATAATATTTCATACGACATCAATATGCATATATATTATTTTTTTAAAAAAATCTAAAATTCTAACTGCTAGAGTTTTTAGGGAAAAAAAATAAATACTAATTTTTAATTTATTATGAGTCCACAAATAATGGAAGTTTATATGAACTCATTTTATTTTTTATCAGATGAAAAAAGTAAAAAAAAATTACATGGTTTTTATTTTTAATATCAAAATGTGTATTTTTAATTTCATAATTATTCAAAAAAACAAAGAAAAATATTACTTATAATAACTAATGTTTTACTGAAGTGATATGTAAAAGAATATGTTGAATCCATTTTACTAATGATGCTAGAATGCAGGAGAAAACGGTATTCACGATGTGTATACACTATTTTCATATTCATAAAAATGGAATTCATACTGCGTTCTACGTATTTAAGTTCCTAAGCGGTGCATGAATACAATTTGAGAAGGCCACTTTTGGAAATTAAAAATGCTTTTTTGTTTGAGAAAATGTAGTGTAAGATTTAACCTAGAATTCTCTATTCTTGTTAAGAAACTATTCATTGTTATAAAATCTTTATTATATTCCATGAAAGTACTTTCTACTCAGAGTTGAACTAAAAAGAACAAACCTTCTTCAAGGTAATCTTTGTGTGATGCAGATCCTACCACCCAAACTTAATTTTGGGTGCATACAAAGATTCATTTGCAAATGATTTGGCAAATTCTTAGGACACACTAAAATTAAAGCATCTCGTGATTGGATCTTTCCCTATAAGAAAGAGCATTCTTCGGAGAATTTAAGGATGCTTAAAAATAAACATTCATTGTAACTGTACTGTGAAAAGTTTCTTTAATTGATTAATCCCGCCGGCCTGATATCAAGAATGAACGGTCAATTCCGAACCATATGCACGGCGTTCATGGTAATCTTGTTCCTTATAATCAGACCCTCCAAAGCCGCCTTAAACACATCGGCGGTCCAGCATGGGGTCAGCGACGCGGCGGCGACGGGACAAGGTCGGTGGCAGCTTCTAATGGAAAACACCGGAGTTGTGGCAATGCACATGGCCTTGACCCACCGCAACACGGTCGTGTTCTTCGACCAGAGAGGCTCCGGTAGGTCCGGCTTCCAGCTCCGGCGCCGGTTCAACGGCACCCGGTGCAAGGGCTCCAGGGAAGACCTATCGGACCCCGCTTGCTACGCTCACTCCGTCGAGTACGACGTTTCCAGCAACACCATCCGCCCCCTCCATTTCATCTCCGACACGTGGTGCTCCTCCGGCTCCATCCTTAGCAACGGCACCATCATGCAGACCGGAGGGTACAGAGACGGCTCCCGCCGGATCCAGTACTTCCCCCCTTGCACGAACAAGCTTTGCGATTGGAAGACGGGGAAGAAACACTTGTCTGATGAGAGATGGTACGCTTCTAATCAGGTTCTCCCCGGAAGGAACGATAGGGTCATCATAGTTGGCGGGAAAAGGGCTTTCACTTATGAATTCGTTCCTAGGTTGTCCACCATGCCTAAACCCGTTGACCTCCCATTCCTCCACCGCACCTTCCAGAGGAACGCCGGCGGGAATAACCTCTACCCGTTCCTCCATCTCTCCGCGGACGGGTACCTCTTCATTTTCGTTAACCGAGATTTTGGTAACTATATATTCAATACAATTACCCATACCGTAGCACCGGTTAACTGAATATCGGTTAACCAAAATTTCAGTTAACCAAAAATAAAAAAGAACCAAAAAAGGAAACAACAACAAAACTACCAACTTAAATTAGTAAACCCATCCGTCATCCAGAACGTAATAAACATCCTTATACATGCACGAGGCTTGAATTTACACTGCAATATACATGCTGCAATTATTAGTTAATTCAATATTTCAAAAAGAATGGAATATTAGTCTCTCAAGAAATTAACACGTAAAGATGAAATTAATTCTAGAGACTTCATTTTGATAGGTTGTTAAGTGCAGCGAATCAGCGATGGAAAAAAGAGTCTTGCAAGAAATTAACTCTACATAGTTCTCCAAGCGGCAGCGAAAGTTTGATTGGACCCCAAGAAAAGAGTTACGGAAACAGCACGCTAAGTGATTTCCGGTTATCGGTTAGCCATGGATAGCAAATCCTCATAATCGCAATTGAACCATAAACCATTATTCCATGGACTCGGTTAACTGTACCGTGAAATTTTGAAAAATCTGGTACGGTTAACCAGAAAAACAACGGTAATTTGGTTTTTTTTACGGTTAACGGTTAACGGGTTTTTGTGCCCAGGCCTACCCACTTCATTCAAATCTGTTATATTCTGTTCAACAGATCTATCTAGAGCTCTGATCAATGGCCGCATTTTCTTCCCTCCTTTCAGCTTCTAATTCTCCTCAGCTGCCCACCACTTCATCGGCTCATTTCTGAAAGAAACAGCCAGTGTCGGCGACGGCGCGCGGCCCGCGCTGCTGCAAGGTCGTCAGGATAAGGAAGAGGAGCCGCCCCGCCACCTCATCGCCAGGTCTGATCAGTTCATCTCCAACATGGGCCGGGGAGTAATGTCGGGCGTAGTTGTTGTCGGAAAAGAGCTGCTGCCGGGAGCAAGGGCCTTCGTTGAGGCCGGCAAGGTCTACAAATTCCTCAGCAAGGAGGTAATATATAGAATTGTATACATATAATTTTTTGGGTAATCAAGGTCTATAAATTCCTCGGTAATTCATACGATCTAGATTTTGCGTACGTAGGGGATGAGCTGGGACTCAATCACCAGTGCATTCACCGACAAAATGGCCACCGACGATGATGCCAAAAACAACAATAAATCTATAGTGATCCACCAACTCAACTGTGAATCGAGAGGCACAATACAAGTGGCGAACGGCATTCATGTATCTATTCTGCAACCTTGTCACCCCTGTGCTGAAAAAGCTTGCTGTACTGGAGCAACGATGGAGTAGGACTGTATTGATGAGTGATGATCGAGACGGAGCAGGTCTGTACTGATGAGTGATACTACAAACATTTTCTTCCTCTCCTTTTCTGCTACGAACGTTTTCTTCCTCTTTATTTCCATGATGTATGGTACTCCTACCATGCTTGTTTCTATTAGAGTATTTGTCCTACATCGAAAAGCTATAAAACAATAAACCACTATATAAGGCTTTGGGCTACTCCTTCTATAAGGTTGACCTTTTAGGATGGAACCCCGAGTCTTAACATAGTATTAGAGCCAAACCAATCCATGGTGTGGGCTCCATATAAAAAATGGTGACATAATTAAAAAAAGAAAATGACGAACCGATGACAAAAATGAATGACGGCACGATCCAGACGAAGTGTGTGATCGTGAGGAGCGGTGTTGTTGTCCCACACTGGATATCTCTTAAACAATTAAACGCTATATTAAGATCTGGAACCCTCTTTCTATCAGGTTGACCTTTTAGGATGGAACCTCGGGTCTTAACAAGGTATCAGAGCCAATTCCGATTATGGTTTGACAGCTTGTTTAGCACCCATGATTATGGGTAGCTTGTTAAGGGTCTGTTTGGCCCATTTATACACCCCGATATTATCCAGTCCGGTTTAGGCTGAGGGGGCGTGTTAGAGTATTTGTCCCACACTGATAAGCTATAAAACAATAAACCACTATATAAGGCTTTGGGCAACTCCTCCTATCAGGTTGACCTTTTAGCATTGAATCCCGAGTCTTAACATAGTATTAGAGCCAAACCAATCCATGGTGTGGGCTCCATGTGAAAAATGATGACTGATATTCATGTAATTTCCGATTTTATGTTTGTATTTTTAACTAGTTTTTATTAATTCTAGTTGAGGAAATTACACACTTTTGGTGTAATACTTTATTTTCATATTTATTTGTAATTTGTTTAGATTATGACTTTTCTGAGCTAAACATGTCAAAGATCATCCAAGGGATCAAGATTGGACCTTAAAAGATCAAGGAAAGTGCAAGGAGGCAAGAAAGATTTCGATTTGGAAAAAAATACTCATGTACCGGGTCGGGTATTGCCTATACCCGATCGGGTATTTGCTTGATTCGATTGTCCAAATCAAATCCGGGAACAAATGATCGTGGGAGCAAGATTTCGTTAAGATTTGTCACATACCCGATCGGGTATGCCCAGAAAAGTGACTTTCTGGCAAATTTCCTAAGATACCCGGTCGGGTATCCTATATACCCGGTCGGGTATCAGCCCCTGCAGCTCCCAAAAGCCTATAAATACACTCTTTTCCTTCACAATAAAATTACCAATTCACATATACTCTTTAGCTCAGTTTAGTTAAGTATTTCTTTTATATTTTTAGCATGTTTAGTCTCCAAATGAGGAGCTAAACTCTTCCATCTTGGTGTTGCTCTTGAAGCTTGTTGATTATTAAAGTTGTGAGTTATTTTCTTAACTTCTTTCCTTGAATATTAATTAATGGTTCTTTCCTTAATACCATCTCTATATTAATGTTGGGGAGTGTTTCTAAGATGACAATTAGTTAACATCTCGACATTAGTTAGAATGGTATTTTCTTCCTCTATATTAATGTTGAGGAGTGTTGCTAAGATGACAATTAGTTAACATCTTGATATTAATTATAGTAGGATTCATCTTCTTTAATAATATTCTTCCTTGAATATTAATTAATTCCTACTCATATTTCATATTAATATTTTGAACATTACTTAAAGGATCAACTAGTTTTGTTTCATATATTAATTATTACTAGAAACGATCAACGAACCGATGGTTAATCGTTGATGGTTTCACAAGTAAGTAACTTCGGTTTATTAATGCACGGTCGTGGTTAATAAACTTAAGAGGGATTAATTTTGTTGGTTAAACTGAAACCGTTGTGGTGAGGTTATCAATCTCAATTGATTTCATCAAGGAGTTAGAAAGATTAAATGCTACTATTAAATCGGTATAAGGCGTTGTTCTATATTTGTTTAATAGTAAGGGTTATTAATGAACGGTTGTTGTTAATAACTACCCTCGATGAAGTGGATATACTCCCCGATTGAGTATTCGAGAGGGAATAAGTTATAGATATAACAATGATCGACTAAAATATATCAACAAGTGGAAAGTAGCAATGTCAAGTCCTTTTTATCTTTTAATTAAACACATATAGGTTGTTCATCTTAGTTCTTAATTAAATTAAATCACTCAATCCAAATTCCCCCTTTATTTACTAAGTTTCATAAAAAGAGAATTATTTCTTTCCCTGTGGATACGAACTCTACTACGCTATACTACGTAAAAGTGCTAGTATTGAATTTATTTTGACGCACCGTGACAAAGTGCTCGTCAATGACACGATTAAAAAAATGACAATGACGAACCGATGACAAAAATGAATGACGACACCATTCAGACGAAGTGTCTGATCGTGAAGAGCGGTGTTGTTGTCCTACACTCGATATCTCTTAAACAATTAAACGTTATATTAAGATCTGGAACCCTCTTTCTATCAGGTTGACCTTTTAGGATGGAACCCCGAGTCTTAACAGTTTCCTATCAATTCTCAGAAGAATTCATTGATTAATAATTCGAATTCCAATTAGTACCTATAAAATATAAAGTTTATGCTAGAGTTTGTTCATGTGTGGGCATAAAATGAATCCCTTACTGCTGCTGAGGAACCAGCTGCTGCACCCGCACCCGTACCTGCTGCTGCGCTTGAAGAAACTCCCTCCTAGCCTGATTCGCTGAGTATTGTTGACTCTGCATCAATGGGGAAGAAAACTGAAACAAAAAGAAGAACAAAGAGAATAAAGGGTGAATCGGATGAGTTTCGTTTGAAAAACTGTCGAGACACGTTCACTAACTTGGACTTTTTGTTTACCATTGAGTCTATGTTTCCTCTTTATTGTACATAACTCTTTCAACAATTTGGCAAACCTAGGAACACCTTTTATTAAGTTAAGGAGAGGGATATTTACCTCACATTTGGAGAATGTCTCATAGGTGTCCTTATCCTTCTCCACCCTTCTTGTTTCCCTTAGAGCCTCGGGAAAAGGTGCTTCAATTTCAGGGGTGGCCGGCGGTGGAGTTGAGGTTTGAGCTTTCTCCTCCTCCGGTTGAGCTTTTTCCACAAGCTCCTCTTCTTCCTCTTCCTCGCCAATGTGGCTCTTTGATTTTTCTTTGGCAATAACCAACTCCTTGCCACTCCTCAATGTAACCGCATGGGTTTGTTGCCTAGGATTCAACTCCATTTGAGATGGAAGCTTTCCCGAATCCTTGGCCTCGAGCCTACTCACCGCACTTGAGATTTGGCTCATTTGATTCTCAAGGTTTTGTATGCTAGATTTGTCTCATGTTGAAATTGAACCATTTTTTGTTGCATGGTTGAGACATTTGAGGTGAGGGCTCAAATCATGTCTTCGGTGGACATATTTTGGCCTTGTGGTTTGGGGTATGGTTGTTTATTTTGAGGGAAGGATTGATTTTGTGGAGGGTTGTTTTGTGGAGGGTTTCCTTGAGGATTCCCATATCTAAGATTTGGGTGATCTCTCCCCCCGGGATTATAAGTATTGCCATAAGAATCATACCTCTTTTGATTTTGGAACCCCAAAGCGTTGACTTGCTCGGGGTTATCTTCCTGAAGTGAGGGGCATGAATCGGTAGGATGCCCTTGTTGCGTGCAAATGCCGCAGACCTTGACCTCTTGGGTTCTAGGATTTAAGAGAAAGTCCTTAACCAAAGAAGTCAAGCCGGCAACTTGACTTTCCAAAGATGATGAAGATTCCGGGTAATGTCCGGTGTAATGTCAAGAATTCTCGGCCAATTCCGAGATGAGATGTCTTGCTTGAGAGGGGGTTTTGTTGACAATACCCCCTCCGCACGCTGCGTTCACCA